TGAAGATATTGCTGACCATCATGTGTGGTGTCTTAATACCCGTCAGTTACACGTTATATGCCTTTGATATGAGATCTCTGGAGGCGTGTCACGTGTCGACCGCTTTGGGTCTGTCCTCACTGTTTATGCTATACTTCTTCGGTATAGTCTTCAGGCGATACGTCGGAAGAGTGTATATATCGGACACGGAATCGTTGGTACGATTGTCTCATTTGTCATTCTTCGGCAATCGTATCGACACCGACGTCGAGATCGACGATATCGTGCCCTTAAGTGATAGCAATTATAACCTCAAAGACTGGTTCTGTCGGATCGAGAGGTACAGCACTGAAGACCTCTTATATATGTCCCTAAAATACGGCGGAATCACTAATAGGGAGGGCTTTGACAAAGTTTTCGGCAAAAACGTGTCTAAAACACTGAATTGAGTGCTAATTGTGTTTATTTGTCATATATTATAGAAATTAATGAATAGTTTTAAGTGTGAATAAAATGTTTCAAAACTTTGTGTTCAATAATGTGTGCGAAAGTGAAGTGAATGTGAATTTGCCGTCAATTATGACAGCAATGAATGTGCGAACGAAACGCATAACAGGTGTCGCTATCTGTCACTCAAACATTGTTTTTGTGTTGTTTAGCGTGAAATGTAAACACCATTTGAGTGACAATTAGCTGATCCCAAGAAACGACATCAGCGCCAAGACATGGACGAGCCCTTCTCCAACCCATTGGCGCCCCCATCGGCACCGGTGGCCGACAGGCGGGAAATCTCCAGACAGGACTCGGCGCCGACAGACACTCAACCGCTCACTAACGCAGACTTCAGGAAACTAATGATGACTCCGAGGGTAGGCCTGTCCTCGTCGTCGTCACTATCGGGCGGCACCGGTATGTCGTCCGTACGCGAGTCGACACGCGGTCAACGGCCGGCTCTGAAGGCGGACTCCAATGAGAACCGACAGAAGAAGAAGAAGCTGTTCGCCACTCTTAAGCGTCAAGAGGACGACACTCTGACAGAACTGGCCAAACGGTACAGAGATAGGGCCCGAGAGCGCAGGGATGGCGCCAATCCTGACTACGGACACGAGGCCAACGAGTCGTCTTCCGTGGCCCCGAACGCCGCCTACAGAGCGGTGGCGCCGGACCTGAAGTCCGGGTTAGACGCGGCCGAACGGCGCAAGAAAGTGATCCAGGAGTCCAAGTACTTGGGCGGAGATATGGAGCACACCCACCTCGTCAAGGGGCTCGACTATGCGCTCCTCCATAAGGTTAAGGCCGAGATCACTAGTAAGGAGAGAGAGGACGACGTGGAGAATGAGGCCAATGAGGAGGAAGAGGAACAGGAGGCGATGGACACGAAAAGGTCGAAGAAGTCTGCGGCCACTGTTCCCGATATACCCGTCGAAGCGGACGATCCGTTTGCGCTGAAGAGTAAAATCGCCAAAAATATAGTGAATGTACTCTTCAATAGAGCGCCGCCCGATAGGAATGAACTCTTTTTGACCGGAAGAATGGCTTATGTCGTCGATTTAGGTCTGTATACCAGATGTCGTGTCTTTGATTGACTTTTTACTAAAATAAGTCTTTAATCCACGATTCAGAGGATGAGTTCCCCGACAGCGATATCCCGACGACAGTCATCCGAAGCAAAGCCGACTGCCCTAACATCGAGTCGATGACCACATTAAGCACTAACGATATAGTGATCAACAAATTGACTCAAATCCTGTCATACCTACGACAGGGCGGCGCCGGCAGGAAGACTAAGAAAGCGAAGGAAAAGATCCCATTGATTGGCGAAGACGGCGGCAAAAAGAGTGATAAATTGGCACAAAATCAACCGAAAGGCGACAGTATTTACGACGACGTCGGAGATTATGTGCCGGACTTGAAGAAGAGGGAGAGTAGGAGTGATAGGGAAAGGGATAAGAGTAGAGGTCATAGGGATAGGGATCACCGGAATAGAGATCGCGAGAGAGA